ATCTTTTGTGACTTAGAGCTTTGCTAGATATGATTACCTAGTGCTGACGTAGGCATAGGCCCWTTTTTTTTCTTCCTCTGGCCATTGACAGAAATCTTGCACCCCTATAGTAACTTGCTTACTTCATAACACTGATATGTAGRTATGGCTTGGTGACGAGCAGATAGTTGTCATGTCCTTGATATTTCCAATACTTTGGGTGGGATATGGCTTTCATACTGACCGCTTCAGTTTGCGTGTAGTGTTTTGTRCCTTGTACCTCACAGTTGCCTGGGGTAGCAGATGAAGAGAGGCTATAAATAGTCCGTAGAGCTGTTTGGATAAAAGGTGCCGTATAAATACTGCTCTCTCCTTCCTCAGATGTTGATGCTTTAATTTAATCTCTTGTRCGGTGTAAGGCAGGAGGGGCTGATTCTCACCTGCTCCAGTACTTCCAAAGCCATGTAGCCAAAGTGCCTATGTTTAACAGATGAATCAGCGGCAGCGTAAGCAAAGCCCTTAGCAGGTGTGAAGCCAGTCGGGATTTGTGCCTGTTTCACATTACAGGCTGAGCGCAAGCCCCAGCCCCTGCCCGGCAGCGGGGGCAGCAGGAGGTGAGGGGCGGCGGGGGCGGCCCGGGGGCTGTGCAGCAAAGCGCCGCAGCGGAGCGGCCCCGTGGAGCGACGTGGTCGCTTATGGAGGCGCTTCCCGGCCACGCAGCTCTCTGCGGCTGAGCCCTTAGCCCTGTGTCAGGGAAACGTCCCCATGTGAGTGACTGAAGGCTAGGTGATTCTTGCGGCGCTTAGGGCAGCCCATTTGCTCTTCAGCGTGGCTTCTAAAAAGCATTACAATTTATTAAAAGGAAACTGAGATATTTTAAGACAGCCAAGAAAGCGCCAAAGGTCCAGATCTTTTATAGTATTTAATTAGCAAATAAAAGTAGCAATAAAAATCAGTTGGGGAAGAGCAAATGACCTAAAGTGGATCTAGGTGAAACTAGGATCCTTCTCTTGTGAAGGGAATCAATGGCTTGCAATACAGCTTTGTCTCCTTTACCCTCTTATCTTTTTTTAGTCTTTTTCTTTTTTGATTAAGGGTTAGGGGGAGAGATCAAGAATCACTGTATATATGTCTGATAATTCTTCACTGGTGAAAACAGAAGTAATTACATTATTCTGGGAATATTTATTGAAATGTGTTTTACTGTCTTCTGTGGTGGATGGAAAATGCAGGAGGGTTACTTGGAGCATTGTAAAATGGTGATGAAGTAATGGCTTCAAATTCTGTTATTTATGTTGGCAGTGAGAAACATAAATTGTTAAGATCTGTGTGTCTGTACCAAAGATAAACCTAGCAACGTGTTGCTGGTTGTCAGTCCACATTTTCTTCCCCCCGCCCCGTGTCACTTGTGATGTGATGTCATTCTGTTAAGTGGGAACCTCTAGCTCTAATTAGATGTGACAGAACTTAAAGGCTGTTCAGAAAATTGTACTGGGATGTTTGTTATGGACATTAAGACATTAAAAAGAATGTTTTTTGGGTAATATTACCCAATSTGCTATGACATGCAAATTAAGCTTCACTCTGAGCCTTGAATAAACAGAAGCTATATATAACATTACAGAATTATGCCTTGTAGTGTCTTATATGGGAGTCACATAGGAGTGGGAATTTTGAGTGCAAAGCTGGTAAAGTAACTGCCAGGATTTGACCAAAAATTGTTCCCTCAGGATTATTTAGGCTCTTCCCTAGTTTAATCGCTTCATATTCATATTTTGAAATTTTTGATTTTCCTATTTTGGAGGTGACACAAAATACATGGATAAGAGAGCCTCTCCGTCATGTGCTTCTCTTGCTTTGGCCTAAATAGTACCTGACTTGGGATAGTGTGAGCAAGAATTTGGTCAGTGATTCTTTTATTTGCTTTTTCATGGATTTCCACTGTATTTCAGTGTATTTCAGTACGTAGATTCACTGTATTTCAGTACGTAGAATAATATTTCTCAGTTGCTAACGAGAGAGATTCCAGTATATTGATGAGAATAAGAGCTACTGTGGGGTGTTTAACTATGATTTTTAATAACAATTTCCTGGATAACAAGGGAGAAGATGAAATTCAAACAGCAGTTTTTTTGCCCTCTAGTCAAACAAATGGTATGATGCTGGTTACCTATAGAGTTGTAGAAAATAAAGCTTAACTACCTCCCTCTGCTTTGCATGTGTGGATGATGCGGTKATGCCCGCGTTGTGGTCTGGCAGCCTCCTTGCTCCATAAATGGGTGCTGGGCTCAGGCTGTGGGCTGGGTGCTGGAGGGAGCAAGGGGCTCTGCTCTGTGGGGCAGCAGCCAAGCTGGGTCTGGCCTTTGCCTGCACGAGGCAAACCAGAGAGTTGCCTCAGGGCTTCTCTTTTGTGTACTTCCCGTTTCAAGCTATCATGGAAACACTATGACAACTACGATCCTTGAGAGAAATTCTGGCCCTGGAATTTGACAGGCCTTGCTGTTATCTGGAGCAAGGCCAAGGCTTCACCATGTAACTAACTATAGATGTTGTAAGAGAATATACTTAGCGATGACCTAAGGCTCTTCTAGAATGCCTTACTTCATAATGTCTGCTTCACATGAGCTTTTGTGTTGCTTTTTCAAATGTACAAGAAGCACCTTGTGTTCTTGTCACCCTTCTGTACATCAGCGTTTAAAGACAACTAGTAAATACCAGGCATTGCAGAGTAACACGACAACATGATTTGCCTCAGTGCTGGCAACAGAATGTTAAAGCTGCCGGGAGACCCTTCACGCAGGTCACGCAGGACTTCACGCAGGACTGTAGTAAGGCACACTGCTTCCTGCATCTTGTTGCTTTTGCCGGTGTGTGGTACAAAGCAGGAGGTCAGTGGAGCTCCAGCTCTGTTTGGCACGCAGGCTGGCACAGCAGCGAGGACAAGTCATGCAACGTGGGCTTGCTTCATGCGCTGTGCCTTCCCCTGCCTCACAAGGCTTTAAGAGGAGCTGTAGATGAAGGTTTAAACTTTTCATGGGAAGGGCACATTTACCTGAAAGAGCCTCATTGAGTAGGGCTGTGTCCAACTTGCAAGTTCTCCTGGTAGGGATGTGTTTACRCTGCCCAAGGAGGTCACTTGGTGGCGTTTTGGCAGTTTTCCCTGTTGCGAGCATTACCTTTGGCTACACAAAGGTTGTACTTTGACAAAGGTTGTACTTTGACTGTTAGGATTTATTTTCTTTCAGCACAGCTATTGTAAAGGTAAAAAAAAAAATGAGTGTAGATAGGACTCGAAGGAAGAGATGAGTCATAATAAAATGCAGCTTGCTGGCATTCTCCAGTTGTAGAAAGTACAGCATGTGCAGTCTTTGGGGGGAGATGGCAAAGGAGGCCAGGGTGACTTGGAGGAGCATGTGTAAGACGTGGTAAAAAGTGTTCCTGGGGGCAGGGCTTGCCTTGCATCAGCTGTTTTTGTGTCTTTAACATCAAGTTGTTCAATTTGTTGCTTAGGACTTCAAGTATAAACTTCTAATTGCAAGAAGATCCACCAAATCTGGTTTTGTTTAGCTTTTGACTTTTCTATGCTGTTGCTTTGCAGAGGAGCTCTCACTTCGCTTTTGTTAAGTCAAAGAGAAGAATTATGGTGTGGGAATCTTTGACAGGTTTCACAGTTGTGTATTTTACCTTTGTGCCGCTGGAATGCAGGGTAGCTGTGGCAACAGAAAAGTCACCTTGTATTGGCACTGCCACTGGAGGAAAGCTAGAATGGTGCTTTTGGATGCAGATTTTCTTCACGATGACAGTGAAATGGACCGGCTGGGAACTGTACTTAGCTGCCAGGCAAGGGCAGGGCTGATTGTCCATATATCTACCTTGTGTTGAGTGGCAGGGGAAGCTGCAAGGAAACAAGTTGCATGCAAGAGAAAAGCTTGACTTTTTGGCATTAAAGCCAACTATTACCAAACGCTTCCGTTCTATATTAGGTGTATTTTGAGAAATGATGGGAGGAAACGGTTGTGTACTCCAAGCAAAATTTATTAGAAGTCTATTCAAGGAGGGAAAAAAAAAAAAAAAAAAACAGAAATCAAAAAAAAAACCCCAAACCACTGAGACCTTTTGCTTGTAAGAATTCAAAGTCAGTTACCTGAAAGCCAGGTATGAAAAACTTGTATATTTTTTTAAAATCAGATACAGAGTAGAAACAGTACTTTTTAAATATCACAGGCAACAGATATTTGTCTTCAATCATAAATGGCATCAAAGATAGGTATTAATTTCACAGCAAAGCTGCATGCAGATCTAATTTAAAGTTGAACGCCTCTGAAATATAAAGCTTTTGCCATGAAATCTGCAATAATAAAGGTATGCTGCACAAAGATGTTTCTTTACCTTCATCTTAATGACATTTCTGAGTAATAAAGACATATGTACATTTAGATTTGGCTGGTAAAACCATATTTTAATTAATAAAATTCTGCATAAAATGCTATTTTACAGAATTGCACTATCCAGATATCCTTATGGTAAGTGGGGCAAGAAAAATGCACTGAAATGTTTTGTGTGTGGAAAAGGGCAAAGATCAAATAAAGAACTTAATTTTTTTAAATCAACAACAAAATGGCTCTGTACAAAAAAAAATAAAGCAAACATATGTACAAAATGCTACAGAAACTAAATACATTTTGATAATTTCAATCCTTTACCCATGAGAAATACAGTAAAAGCTTTTGCCATCTATAAGGTGCCAAAGAAACCAAATCTGATTTTTTTTTCTGTATAAAGCCATAGTCATTATCACTGTGTGCCTTAATTTCATGTATTATTTATGCTTACTTTTGTTTAAGAAAAGTGTATGTTTTCAAATACTTGTTTCATTCAGGGGAAAAAAAAACCTAAAATGTATCAGTTTCAATATTTGTGATTTTTTTTCATACTAAATTCCTAAAAAGAATGTGTAACTCAGGTTTTCTTAACGTATATATGCAGTGAAATAAAATCAGTACATGATACTTGTGAATATTTTTCAGGTGGCTATGTTAGAAAATTTTGCACTAACACTGTTTACGTCCTGCTTAAAAGTCGTGTGATACGTAAAAACACTAAACTCTCACATTTCATGTTGCTGACTATTACAACATTTGGATTACAACCATTTAAAGTCAGACATCAGTAGCGGGTTATAGTCTATGCTTATATCGCTGTCTGCCTTGTCATTAAATCCTGTTTACCAAGGTTTCATGCCTCTTGCACTTYCTTACCTTTTAACAGAAACCACTACTGCTTTTTTTGGGGGGGAAAAAAGAAAAATGGCTTAGCCAATACCATTGCACCCATTCAGGACACTTTTAAGTTCCCCTCTTTCTTCGCTAGGCTTGCTTGAGATTTTACAATCACTGTGCATATGTTAAAACATAACAAGTGCAGGCAAAAAAATCTGTATTATTTTTATACATTGTAAACCAGTACAATAGGCAAACTTGTGATACAGCAAAGTGAAAGCAACATAAGCTGCCAAGCTAAAAAGAATTTTGAAATTCAAACAACTTTTTAATAGTAAACAGCAACTTCTCTCTAATGTGTGCATGTTTAAAGTATATTTTTTCCCATTACGCTTCAGGATAGTACCACTAATGCTCCAAACAGGACCAGCCCACCCCAGTCCCTCCTGGCAATTCACCTGTGTACCTGTCATCAGACTTCTCCTATTCTTGTGTCTCGAAATGTTTAAARCAACAAATACTTAAATGTTGAAAGGCTTCCTCTTGTTTCAGCAAAGTTTAGCTAGTCACGCTGCAGTCGTTGCTGTAATACTGCTGGGAGCKTTGGCGGATGGGATGGGATGAGGATGAACTGGGTGGCCTCTATTTGAGACTGCAAGCAAGAAAACAGCAGACCTGGGTAGCATGTTTTCTAGCAGCTTTATGCAGATGTGTTGCAGAGATGCAGCATAAATAAGTAGGGAAAAAATTCACAGCCTCTTGACATAGTTTCCAGGGAAAGTACCAAAGAATTTGGTTCTTCTTGAGGTTCCTGAAATTAGAAGCAATAGATGAAAGATGGGAAACAATAGGAAATCACCATGAAAGTGTGTGTGTGTGGTGTTTTTGGTTTTTAATATTTTGCAAATGGGAAAATATTTATTTTCTTTACAGCTGAGTTACTTTAAATTTCATTTGAGAGTTGTGAATTTTAGTAAGTTGCAACTGGGGGAAGGAAAAAAACAAATAGAAGAGGCGTATCTGATTAAGATGTTCTATCTGATTAAAATTTGTATTAAATCTGATGTGTTGAAATTTCAGCTTGGCACAGGAAAATTATTTCACTTAAATGCTGTCTGTTGTAATGGAATAATGTGGATTTTTTGAAGTGCCAAGAACTAGCAAGACAAAAAACCTAGCCAGAGGGTATGTGAAAGTTTATGGAGTGACTGAGCCACTTTGTTTCTAGACATATTTATGAAACCTGTATGAGTTTAGTAATACTTGGATCTCAGAAATGGCCAAATCCGTAGAGGTATTAATGTGAATAAGTTTTACATCATCAGTCTCGATGGAAATGGGCAGAATGGTGTGTAACTCATTTTGTGCCTCGTGAAGCACAGCAGCACTTCTCGACAWGCTGAGAGCACGTGTGCATTTGTGGCCAGCTGCTCCAAAGTATCCACTATTTTCAGTGGATGTTRGTTGGGGGGTCAAGTTAAATACATGGAATACAAAATTTATACCAAACAAACTGAGGATAGCAAAAATAATGAAAAAAATATAAATGAAAAAGCAACCAAATTAGAACATACCCACAAACCAGCCATCATCACATTTCTCCATCACATCAATGACATCTCCCTCTCTGAGCTCCAATTCATCTTCATTCCTAGGAGTATAGTTATATAGAGCCTGAAACCTTGAATAGGACAAATGATGCATTTTAAAAAGAAGTAAAAGTTCTTTGTATCGCCGCTGAAGTAGACGAGTGGTTCAGACATTAAGTGACACTTAAACCCCTTCCCCCTCTGTTTGTATTTTCCCTAATGGAAGAGCCAGGGCTAGGGCTATTCTACAGCAAGTGTCCTGCTCTATCTGAAAGGTACCTCAACAGACACGAAAGGCTGGGGTCTCAGGGCCAGCGTGACTCCTCCTTAGCTGGTTCATTTGTTAAATGGGCTGGTTAAACACAGACTGTAATATTTTTGCAACAGCAGTATTTTAGAGGTGAGCCCCTGCACCTCTGGGCTAGCCTCTCGCCTCCCTTCAGCAGCAGCCACCAGAAAGCAAAGCCTGCAGTTGAGCGCTCTGTCACACAGGCCAGCAAAGAGCTGGGGCACTTAAAGTGCCTCTGCGGGGCAGGCCCAGGGCAATCGCTACTGGGAAAGCAGGGGCACCTTTCTTACTTCAGTTGTGCTTGTACACTGCATAGGAGGCTATAAACCACGTGAGGGGSCCTGAATCCTGGCTGAAAGCTGATGCAGGAACTGCCCAGGCATCTTTCAGATTTGTTCCTCTCCTCGAGCAGGCTTCCCAAGAGCTGCTGCCTTGTTGGCAGGACCTCCTCTGCTTGTCCTGTGTTGTAGGTTTTTTTTCCTTATATATTCTATCCTGGGAACAGGACAAAACGTGAGACAAATACCTACTGGGTTCAAACACGTGATCTTYCAAAATCTTCCTGTCTAAATGGAAGAGGAGTTCTTGGAAGTAGTAAAAAAGTGTGAAAGCAGGGTGGAAAAAAAATCTGGGAAGAAAAATCCTAGAATTGCCTATCCCTCTGTGGTAGACAAAAGGAAAAGAGAGGAACTGAGAAGATGGAACAYGATACTGTTCCCAAGTTTGATGTGTACCTCCTCATAGTGAAAAACCACAAGTAAGGAAATTCTCTCTGGGATATAAAGGCTTTGATGTCTGCCTTGAGCCTGCCACAGCAGTCTCAGAGCTGGACGGATAATAGAACAGATTAAAATAGGGGAGRAGGTTAGAGGAAAAGCACATACAAAAAATATGCGTGCAGTTCCCCATAGGTGAGGGACACTAAAATGAAGAACGAGTAGCTGTAGTAGGTGTCTGAAAGGTGGAAATACCYGAGCCGAAACCTGCTAGGAGGAGTTGAGCACAGACCTGGTTGAGTTCTTTGACATCCTCCCCAGAACCAAATCAGAGCAAACCCTGGGTGAGCGAGTGGCTTCAGCTGGGTGCCATAAGGATGGAAATTGAGACAGCATTCACAGAGTTGTCTCCCTACCACCAGAGACTGAAGAGGGATGCAAGGTGGAAGAATGCAAAGAGGTATGAGACTACCAAAGCTGTTATTGTTCATTTCATGTTGGGTTTAGTAGAGTTTCTTGGAAATGAAAGCGTGCTGCTAAGTACTTATGATTCCTGTGTTTAAGTGGAGCGCGCCTGGCAAACAGCCCCCGCTCGGCTGCCGAGGCAGAGGGAGGCAGGCGGCTCTTCTGAGCCCCTCTGCCCCGGCTCCAGCTGCCTGCCTTAGGGCACAGCTCTGTCGCTCTTACAGAGCCAACAACTGTCACTTCAAAATACTGAAACAAAACATTATCATCATCATGATCTTTTTTTCTTACCCGTAACACTTCACTGACTTGAAAACTTAATGCTTTTCCCTCCCCCTACTATATTAAAAAAAAAAAAAAAAAAAATCAAAGGTTTTAATTTTATTTTCTTTGATCAAACTGGTTGGTACAGAATATTTGATTTGGCTCTGTTTCATCAGGCAAAGTTTCCATTTGCTTAAATAGGTCTTTATATAATAAATTCATGATCCTTTTCATGTTGCTGGTTTGGAGAAACAAGAGACTGGTTGAAAGAAAATGTGATTTTTAACTCCGGTTCTAATAGCTGACTTTTACCTCCCCAAATCTGAGAAGTTTTTTTTTTTTTTTTTTTAACTTGATATTTCATTCAACTACTTTGAATCATGTTAAGAAGGAGGAAGGAGTTAGATATTCCAGAACTAATTAATTATAAATTGAAATACAAAAGTTGTAGGTGTAATGTGTCATAAATTAGTTACTAAAATACAATGAGAATTTCCTAATTAGCACTGTTTTTACTTTAGAAATCTAAGTTATTTCCATCTAATCCTTTCCTAGGCACTTCAGTCTCTGATAATTCAATACTTGCTTAAACATGAAAGATTCTACTGCCATTTGCAATGCTGACCAACTAAAGAARGACTGGTTGGCAATTTAAATATACTTCTATTTATTTTTTAGACATAAATTAGTTCAGTCATACTAGTCTGAGTCTGTATGTTGCAAAAAAATGAATTGGATAATTATGCCTACAAAATAGAAGTAGAAACTTCAGTATGCCCAAAGGCACTGGACAGTAGCTTGAGAGAGTTTTCTGTGAGATCACAACCAAAATGTCCATTTTTCATTAATTATTATCTGTGGTCTGATTATTGAGTAACTCCTTTTCTTCCTTGAAAAAAGAGACATTTGACATTTCTTTAAGTGACTAAGCCAAAATTCTAAATATTTTTAGGTGCTAAAACTTAATTATACTAAGGAGATTTCAGCTAGTAGGGCTGATTYCAGAGCACTCTGAGGCTAGTTCAAGGATTGCTATTGGTCTCAATGATGTGAGACTACAAATCTTGTCCTGTACTTACATAGCAATAATAAGCACCCAAATACCATTACTTGTTTTATGATAAACATTTATTTTGAGCTTTCCCATTTTTGAGAAGGTTTCAGTGCATCTAATATGCAGCATTACCCATTTATTTTTCAGTMGTCATCCACAACTGTTTCTGAATAATTGGTGCCAAGTCAGTGAAGCAGATGAACTGAATTAACAATAAATCTTCAACTGGCATTCTACTGAGAACTAATAGTGAGGAGATCAAAAAGTTATCCTTTTATTTTTACCTATCCTGCATGTGCACCATGATGATGATGCCCAGGCTTTAGRCTCTGGGACCTTCTTAGAGATGTTCCTACATCATGCAGTTGTCTGTGATTCTCTGAGTCTCTTTGTAATTGCAGTTGGCAGATGAACACATTATTTGAGGAGGTAATGGCTATTATATAAATATTAGGTTTGGGGTTTAGTAGACAAGAAGTATACTTACGGTTCCCCCCCAGTGTGTATGTTTTCATGAGCAAACACAGGGCGCTGTGGCTGAAATGAAATGATTTGAAATGTAATAAAGATATATAGCTTGAATTTCAAGTAGCTGGATAGTGGCCTGACACCATCTCTTGAGATGTTGTCATCTCATATTCTCATACTCTACGTTGCATAAAGCCAAAAAACCCCTTCAGCCCCCGCAACAAACCTCACAAAGTTCTTACGAGACAAGGCAAGGAAGAGAGCTTTGTGGGTTTAAAGGTAAGATTTTTGGACAGTATAATGAAGACTAAAATAAAATATGACTTAATCTATTTGTACTGTAGTAAAAACTCAGTATAGARCCTACTACCTCTTCACTAACTCTGAAAGAGAAATAACATTAAAAAAATCAGGTGGAACTGGGAGCATTATTATACATAACTTAGGCAACATATATTTTTTAGCTAAGCAGAAATAAAATCTGCTAAACTTAACGGCAGTTTAGAAAATCCATAGACAAACATCATCCCAATTTACGTTACACACATAGAGTACTAACTTGGCAGGCATATCATGCTATGCTGTAATTGATACTGTTTGATCTGAAAGAGGAGCACAAAGTCATGCAGGCTGTTGGGAGGCAAAGAGCAGAATTTTTTTTGATAGAACGCATGTAATTGTGTGAAAACAACAATTAACACTTCTACTAAAGAGGAGAAAGTGGTATGTATTTCCAGTGCAAAGTTATGAAAAGAACTATTTTCATTCTTAATTGAGCACCATCACTAATATCTAAGAAATCTGGCAATGACAGAAAAGAAAAATATTAACTTCCTAGGGAAATCCTGTCCTGCACCCGCTCTGGCAGCGTGCGGGGCAAGCACAACACACACCACTTCTTTTTCTTTTCATGAACTGAAAACTGCAACCTGAYCTTGATACCGTGGAATTTGTCCTACTGCTCCGTGCTTTGTGTCTCCTTAGACTACTCTAATAAATTTTCCTTCAGCTTACTCTTAAAGGTGATGAGAAGTCTTCTATGAGAAAAGGCCATCATAATTAACCATGGAAGTTAAATATTAAAATATGTTGCTTCCCCCCCAACATTCTCAGATGAGGTATTTAAATTATTTTAATGATGTTTCAGACAACACTGAATATTCTCCTCTTCACCTTTATAGTCTGTAGAAGATGCTTTTAAAAATGGTAGAGTGCTTAATGATGCAGGCTAGTGAATAACAATTTTTTTATTAATGACAAATAGTTTTTTTGTTTTTTTTGTTTTTAATTTTTTTTTGACTATCTTCTGGTGTGTCTTTTAGACATTTCAGTTTCTGGTAAACATCCTTCAACAGTTGGTGTCAAGTAAGAAAATATTTCACTGGGTAGATGGCTTGGTATTTGGATTCAAATCTGACCTTATTCTCTGCTAATCTTTCATCAGGTCTGTAACTGAGCTAATGCCAAAGATAGTCAAAGACACCAGAGAACTCGACCGAGGCTAAGGATCTTCTTGCAAACAGTGACAGTCAACATCCTCAACAGTATTACAAATGACTTAATGCTTTGAACACGTACCACGTTGGGAAGAAACACGGTAGGTCAATATTATCTTTTTCTATATAATGCTTACAATTTAAATATATTTCATGGCTAGTAAAGCACTGTTGTTAACAGCAGACAGAGAAGATCAAGGTGARTGAAGGTTTTCAATGATGGGAGATTGGATAATTCCCTTCATCTGAATTCATGTCTAGATACTATCCTAACTCATATCAAGAAGCCTTCTGCACATCATCTTTTCCCTCTAAGCTCTTATTCCTGTACACAGTGGTAGTGGCTGGAAGGGATCTTGCAAGTCCTGGTTAATCGTGCCCAGGAGATACCACGGAATGTATCTCCCATGGAAGTTCTTGGTGCTCAGGATTTCTAACTTCCAAATATTTCTGAGTTCCTGAGCTCAATTCATATTTCCTAGGTAAGAATCTTAGGCTTTTAGGGTCTCATCTCCAAAATGTTTATTAGAGTAAGTTGTCTTACTCTAATAAAAATTGCACAGCAATTTTTTTATTATTATTTTGGCATGATGATCGTGTGTTCGTATATAATAATCTTTCATATTCCTAAACATTTTGTAGGTACAGATGGACTCTAGTTTTGTAATTAAAATAGTGGATACACTCAATATGGATCCATACAATTCCCTTGAAGTACTGGGGGCATATTGTTCCTTTGAAGTAACATCTGCCATTCATGTAAAATTGAAACAGGGCTTATTCCAATTCTCATGCCAGCTTGGATCTCCTAATACATGAACCCTGGCCTGCCTAGCGTTGAATTGGCTAAGTGATGGAGCAAACAGTACCCTCTCATAGCTGGTAGTAAACAAAAGTCTGCCAAAATATTACAGGACTTTTTTTAAAGTTAGAAAAAAAAAAAAGGAATATTTTAAAGAAAACATTTTAAAAATGGAGCAAACAACACGAGAGTACCCCTAGATCAGCAGTGACTACATAGAAAATATTTCATCCTGTTATGTTTTAAGGACCAAATGCTAAGAAAGAAATGCAGAAAATAATGTAGTCCTAAACTGAAAGTAACATATAGTGATAAACTCTTACTCTCATAAAGAATTTTTGCATATGTTGAATATGATTTTTCAGCTAAACAAACTCTACAGTGTAAGCTTCAGGCTATGGAATTGTTGCAGTGTGAGGCTGCTGTGAAAGGCTGAGGAGCATGCGGTCTGGAATAGCGGCGCTTGGAGAACAAGGGCAGTGGCAASTGAATACAACACAATTACCATAGCAACAAAATATTTTGAAAAGGAGGACATGCATTAAAAAAACCAAGAATGTAGCTTTGCTAAAGCCTGTGTACATGCAATGAATTCTAAGTCTTTGACTGCTGGATAGTTTTAGTAACCTAGAAATACTTTGAAACAAGAGGATCCATTTAGAAAAAACGGCGAAATCATGTAAAGAATTGATCGCTTATGTTTTTCTAGCACTGGAAATACTCTGTACTACTGCAGATATACAATACATTTACAGAATTGTAACATAAATTTTGGCACACACAGCCCTGTTGGCTCTACTGAGACAGAGCACGGAAGCGCAACAGGAGCAAAACAAGGTATGTCGGTAGTACTCAGACACTTGGACAAAAGCAGAACGCTGAGGGACTAGACACGGAGCTGCTTTTATGCGGAAACGCTGTTACTGCACACTGGGCATACACAACCATACCCTGTGTGAATAGCTGTGACCTCTGACAGGGGAGCTGTAGGATCTCTTAGTCATCAGGGGGCTACGAGGAGGCTTACCCATAACAAATATCTCTCTCTTTAAATCAGCCTAGAGAAATCATAAAAACTGTGTCAGCTGAGAGCTTCAGTAAGAAGCACCACRGGATCTCTGCCGCTTCATTCCTGTGAACAAACTGGACATGCTTTCCCTGGTAAGGACAGGCAAGCATGTTACAAGAGCAGGTAAGGAGCAGTGCTGTTAGGAGATGGTATTTTCATTGTAGCAGCAGTAGCTTTTTTCTTTCCAAGGGTGTGCTGTTCAGCCACATACACTTGTACAGTTAAAAGATTAATCACACACAGAGTGCATTTGGTGTAAGAACCACCACTACAAATGTATCCACGGAAGCAACCCAGTTAATAATGTAGAAAGCACAAGTGCAAACAGCTGAAAACCATAGGGGTCCAAAAGGTACCAATGACAACTGTTGCAGCTTGCGTTTGCTAAAAAGACAACAGACTTACCTTCTAAATGCACTTTTAAGTACTTGATGGAAAGTACTTTGAAGAACAATTCCAGTAGGGTTAAGATCACTGTTAAACCAGCTAAAGAGCTGACAAACGTCAGCACTGAAGGAGATGTGAGGCAAAGGAGTGCTGAAACTGGAAAGCTCTTCTTTGGGTTTTGTGACTATTTGCCACTGGAAGGTACCAGTAGAGAAGCACAAACCCTTTCTAGGTGTGGGGAGAGTAACGGAGAAAAGAAAGGGAACGCAAGGTTGTTTTAACCCATCCTTTATGTGGTAGAGCATTCCTAGTCCATGATAAAAAATAGTGCTTTTCACCTTTTCTTTCCTTAGGAAAAAGCGACAAAAATAGTGGTTCTTAAGATTTCTTAAGATCCACCACATATGGGTTCTGCATTAACACACAGTTTTGTAGGGTATGTTTTTCAAGAAGTATATAGTTTTTGCTACATATTAGATGATTATTTTTGATAGTCTTTCATACTTTTTACAGAGCTTTCTTCCCTTCTCAAAAAAAAAAAAAAAAAAAAAAAAAAAGTGAGCCTCTGGAAGTCTGGAACCCTCCCTCTGGAAGTGGAAATGCAGTTTGGGTCTAAGCTGCACTGGGAATTCACTCTGTCCACCTAGAAATTGATTGTGCCCCTCTCCAGCTTATTTTTTAATTTTATTTTCCTGGCACAGAGCTGCAATGTCAACACAAATGAGGCTGTGAACAAGGGCCTTGTCCACTCCTTGGATAACAGCATCGGTGTTTAGCGTATTACCCTCGGCTGCATAGTGCTTTACTAAGAAATGTAATGACTCTTTGCCTAAGTGTTATCTTGAACCTGAAAATGCTTTTAAAGRACAAATGTTACTAAGGTTCATGTGCTTGAATGAGGTTCTGTTTCCCTGAATTAAGTAAGAGTGAAGTCCTGGTACAAGACTTTGAGTTGATGTCCTGCCCTATTAGTAGTATCTCTCTTATTTCATTGTATATAATGGTATAAGTTTTTCCCTTGTTTTTCATTTGAAGAAGGCCTATCGCAATATTCCACGTGTTATTTACTATTAGTAATGAAGACAATACATGCGAAAAGATCAAACTCCGGGTTAGCCTTATTAAACATAAGGGAAGACTTGCAGCAAACCGTATTCAAAAKGAGGAGTTTACCTTCGGTGGCAGTGAGGCTTTCTCCTGCCCCTGTGAGAGTTTACGGAGGAGAGGAGGGGAGAGGGAAGCAGCAGACGCAGATGTAGGGACAGAGTGAGGAGCTGGTGCCTTGGCAGAGTGAAATGCAGGATTAGAAGAAAGGTGGAAAGGAGGCCTAAACTTTCCTGGGGCCTCCCCACCCACCCTCCCTTCCCGGAAAGAAGGGCTGGCTTAACCATTTAAGAAAAAGGGAGAGCGGGTTTGTAGGAAACCCAGGTGTGAAGGACATAAAATGCACAGTGAGGGGTCATGCAACTAACATGAAAAGTCAGCAGTGTAATACTACTTGTATCATTAGTCAGTCTGCTATTCTGGGAGAAAATCCCTGCTCTTAGAGCTCAACACAAGTTGCTATTAATGGAACTGGATTTCTGTTTTTATTGTTTTCTCTTGGCTTCACACAGTCCTTGTCTTTAGTGAATTCCCCAATGTGGTGCTTTTCCACTCAAGTAGAGGTAGAGGAGGCCTGCAAGAGCTTTGCAATTGAAATTAGTTTCATGTTCTGCCTGGACACATGTTATTCTGTTTGATTTACATATTTGTATGTGCCCAGCAAATTAATTGCCTGAACAGTCTGACTGTTGAAATAAATGCTGGACAGAAAAAATGTGTTCTAAAACTCTGCTTAGAAACCACACATGGTGTGTAGCCGCACAGTGGCATTTAGCAGCTAGCACACATTTGGCTTAGCACAGTGCTGTGCTGTCCAAAAGAGGGACTGGGGAAGGCTATAGGGGGAAGCATTTCTTCAACTGCCAACTATAATCCATCTAATCTGTTATTAATAGACATTCTCATAACAGAATCGATCATAAATATATCAGCTGCTGAATTGACACATGTGAGGTGTGAACTACTGGGTCTCTGTGGAAGACACGTCTCTCCCTCCCTCTGAAAAGTGCTAACAGGATTTGCTTGCTGAGGCCTCGCACTCTGAAAGGGGTGGCACATGCTAGGCCAGCAAGGAGAATGGTTCTCTGGCTCTTCCCATCGGAATTCTGATAGCAGCTGATGTGCTTAGAGGGGAAGGAAGGCAGCAGCAGAAGCAGGACACCATGGAGCTTACAGAGGTGTGCACCTCGCTTTCCTAAATCTGGAGGGTTTGACAAGGGGCTTGGCCGAACCCTGACAAACTTTCTTTATCCAATGCACTGTTATAAAGGTAAAGCTGGGACTGTGCACAATCTAAAACGGGGGGGAGAGGGGGAAGGGAAGAGAGGGCAAAATTATAGGAACACAGAAGTGACATGACATCAAAATACCTTATCAGCATTCGGTGATGCGTATCCTTCATTATATACCCTTGTGTCTCCTCTACTTGCTATTGGAAATTCTAGATTGTCATGTCTCTGATCCTCCTCTATGTAGAGACTTGGCAATGTTTCTGTGGCGTCTTGTGCTCCTCTGCAGAAGTCTGATTCTTGAGGCTTTGTCTGATCCCCTGCGTTAACTGACAGGTTTCCTTTACCGAGTTCCTCTTCAWGTTCAGCAGTTGCATCTACCACCCWGGGRWCGGAGCCACCTTTATGTGGCAGGGGAATACCAGAAATGGTGCCATCGTGACCATGTTCTCCTGCAGTATCTGACAAATCTCTAGTTACTTTGGCAACTAAAGAGCCAAGTATCCCTTGCAAGTCTTTCTCGTTTCTTGGTTCGGTATTGCTGCTCATACAGTTATGTGCTGTGTCATGAGGAGAGCTGGCTGCAGATGAGACAGGTGTAGGTGCAAGAAAGGGCTGAGGAAGGGCTATAGGAGAGCTCAGAGGGAGCTCTGTATGTGAAATAAAATGATTGTCCTTAATTTGGTGAATGAAATTACTTTGGGCAATTGCTGCAGAGGGGGATGCTGTTAAGACCAAAGAACTGAGTTCTTCTGCATCACAAAGAAAAGTGTCTGGAGCTGGTGGAGGAGGAGGTGAGGTGCCCACGCGTGCAGGTGAAAAGTCAAGAGCCCATGAAAAGCAGTCGCTAGGAGCAGCCTGAAGGAGGTTCTCATCAACATGTGACCAAGAGAAGGAATGGTATCTGGGAAGTGGGCACAGTGCTTGAAAAGGCAACTTGAAAAATAAGAAACACATGGGAATTCAAGTAAATAAATATGACAGATCTAAGATATGAGGAGCCTGGGAAAGAAAAAGCCCCGGTGTTTGGATTGTAGAGTATCATTTCAGTCAGCACGAGTGTCTGAAATCATTAGTACATGAATCAGAAGGCAGAAAAGATATTTAAAAAGTGAAACTGTATCAGGTTCTGGCTTGCAGCTTAAATGTCAAACATGGAGACAGATCTGAATCATTACATTCATGAGGGCAACCTGCATTTGATCTGCTGGAGTTATGTTATCTATGGTGCTTTGGTAGTAAGCTTGTCACAAGTTATTAAATCATAGAACTGAAATTAGTATAGTCTTCCCCAAACTATTACTATTATTTTGAGAATATCAGAATTACACTGTGGCATTAAGTATTTTTTTAAGCTATAACTAGAGTGATTTCTCATTATCCTACTGTTAATATTTGCACTTTTTCTGAGTACATGTTTAAGAAACATCTTAAATACATTGCATACTTTTATCATGGCACAAATAGCTACAGAATGCATTTTTTTCTTTAGAAGTAACTATTAGTTCAAAATGACATCAATGTTTGTGAAAGACACATTCAATTCCAAATGAATGTAGGCAGCCAACAATGCTTTTAAAATAGCGACAGCGCAGTATAACAGCAGTGTATTTTGAGTACCGTTACATAATATTGATTGAAGTATCCTTCTGGTAAAATAAATGTCCTTTTGTAAGAATGAAAGACTGGTGAGTCATACGTACACAGCATCAGTAGATATCCATTGCTTCAGTAAATACTGAAATTGCATTTTGTAACTATTAATCTTCAACATTAAACTTGAACAGAAAATATTTTTATCTCATTGTTAAAATTATCCCAAATAATTAGGTGCACATCCCTCTAGGTTATCTGGATTACTTCAGGTTTTAGGTATGGCTCTAGACAGGGAAGATAATTTAGCTTTCTGAAGTTAACAGTGCAGAATGGGAAGAAGATTAGATTACTTACCTTCTGCTGGAGCGKTCTAGAGGCAGACAGTGTTACTTTACAGTTAAACCTTTACTACAGCAATCCTTTATGCCAAAGCATACACAGTGATACAGTGCASTCTGGTAGCCCCTTTTGGCCAATAGTCTCTTGCCCTTCATCTTTTCTCTTGAGCAGCCACCTACAGCCTCTGCTTTATAACAGGGGTCAGGATACGCTCCCATTTTCAATTCCCCACGTCTACAAGCTGCACTAGAGCTGATGTCATAGAGGTTCTGGCCCACATCCAGCAAAGCAAAGCTTGCTCTTTGACTTAAATTGCTGATTTAGTTTTGTTGCCATTAGATCAGTGGAGTTGAGCACAATTGCTCTAGTAGCAGGAAGTGACACAAAAGTTTATCCCACTTTACAAACCCTGCCCAAATACAAATAAAATAGTAGGAGAAGTGAGAACAGTAATTGTGGGAAACTGCAGCAAACTTTCAGGACTGCTGAAGGAACAAGATGCCATCTTGCATGGTGKTACCATTTTCAAACAGTTGAACATGGAAACCCCAGTGGAATCRTTTTTTTGACGTAGGCTAGAAGCACATGACCCCACACAGGCTCCCTTTTCAGAGAGGGGCTTTTTCCTCCCTCTCTTAACAGAACAGATATGTTAGACACCCAATTATTTACAAAAGTGTCCTGTTGCTGTTAAGTAATGAGGTCACTCTATTAGCATTTAAAAAATACCCAGTGCTGGGAAAATGTAGGCCAGTAACTTCTACTGTGATGAGGGCAACTCATTATGAAGGACTAAGTGCATCCTTTCCTAGAGCCCAAGTCAAGGTCAAACCTGGTCACTGCCTCCTCCTGTGTCAAAGAGCTGTGGAGCACATGGAGACGACCGTGCAGCACATCTAGGGTCCTGCAGCCCCACGCTCACTGTGCTTGATGACACTGGCCTCAGAGCAAGACTGGCCTCGGAAATGCTCTGGAGTGCTCACAGCTTGCACAGTGCAAGGCTCTGCACTTCAGGGTTTACCTTCTGATCTTTCTTTTTTTTCTGGATTATTTTTCATTGTAAACAGAGATGACTTATCTAATGAAAATTCTGGGCAATCCTCCACATATATCTCGGGGAGTCTTCACGATTTCACTCTTTTTCATTTAAAGTTATTATGGGGATATGGACCTTGGTGCTATTTCACTTCAACAATTTTGTTGGCATGGAAATATAAGGAGCTATGGCTCTTTATAGCATCATGGCATATTTGGGAAAGACAGAAAAGACCTGTTCTGGCAGTGATCACAACCAGCTAATTGTCTTTACAGAGCAGAATTTTCAAATTAATTAAATGCAGGATAAAAAGTTTACATGCTACACACAAAATACACAGCTGGAGAATACAAATGCTAGAAAGAGAAACAACAAATGTAAAGAAGAAGATCTGGAAAGTTTCTCCTCTTTACAGTTCAGAAGCATTGGGTGGTCCTACATGAATGCTGATGACAGCTGGCATGCAGAAGTTCTCCTAGTTTCTGTCACTGACCAAGCAGTTGTATTTCCTGAGTAGATGACCATGAAATCTCGTGAATGAGTGATAAAGCATAATGTAGGAATGCTCTCTAGTATTATGTAATATGAATTGTGGTGGCTATAGGAAGAAAAAGAATTTAGAAACTGCCACAGCCATTTGGTGAGAAAAATTAAAAGATCTGACTCCAAACTTGTTGACAATGCGATGACATTTCCCTTACTGAGTTAAACAGTGCTGTCACATCACTCTAAAGAGCCTATCTTACACCAAGAATCTCCCCCGGAATGTGAATGGGAAGAAAAAAARGGGAAAGTTACAGTACAGAATGCTTGCTTTTTTCTTTTACTTTTGAAAGGCACGGAACTAGTCTTGGCAAGCCAGTGTTCCTCGGTAACTTACCTGCCCTAGCCCTTTGCTTGCTAATGGGACTGTAAGSTTTTAGAACAAGGATGTTACGAGACCGTTTTCACACAGGATGATGAAGAGTCTGCTGGACATACCCATGATGCTCAAATGCTGCCCAAGATGCCTAAAATTAAGTCTTGCGTTGTGGGTTATTTTTTTTTTCTGCACAAATTTTGTTCAGTCCTATTCTCAGTAATGTAATAGCTAATGAAAAAAAGGAGAGAAAAATCTTGGCAGAATGCAGGAATTCTGGCATCAAAATGACAAGCTAGCAAAACAATTCTACATATTCAGAAAATATATATAGTGCACTTAGTACATAAATTGCACTTTGTCATTTTAACAAAAAATAACATGTCCTTCTGTACTGTAGGGATAATAGCACTGTAGGGATACTAGCAAAATAATAAATAATGAAAAGTTTTGCTCACCTTAGTTGAACTTAAATGATGTATTCTGTCACTAGAATAGCTTTGGGGTATTGGAGGATCAGGGTAGTCATCACTGCTTTTTGATGTATTCTTTTTGATGACTTCTACATAGGAAACCGGGAAGATGCCTTGTCTGTTGGTTCCTGGTATTCTGCCTTCATACCAGTTTTGATCAACTCGCTTAAGAAGAATTATTCTGTCTCCCTGAAATGCATTATGAAAAGAAATTATCAGAAGCTAGGTTAAAGTTTATTTTTGACTCTTAATATATGGGATTATTTTCCCTGCAGTGCTACTTCCCATTAATTGTGAGGATCTTCTTCATTTTCATGGATTTGTTGAGTGCCCTAAAATCACCCTTAGTGGGACAGCAGAATAGAAAACTAGTGCACAAGACCTGGCTGTCAAAATTGTGACCACTACAATAAGCATAAATAGGGATATTGAGAGAGACAAAAACCTCAAACTATTCCTAATCCTTTTAATTCCAATTCCTGATTTTGCTGGACTTCCTTGGGGTTCACCAGTCTTTTATGAATGGAAAACACAGAGACATCAAAAAGCGCTAGACCAGGCTCAAAATCAGCACCAGTAAAYGGTATTCTTCATCTTATTTCAAGAGAAAAACAAACCACAGAACTTATACAAAACTTATACTATAATTAAGAAATCTTATAACTGAATATATAATTTAATAATAAAGCTCTATAATAATATCCAACTGTCCTACCAGCCTCAAATTAAACATTCTCATGTGTAATAATGTTACTAACAAGATGTGCGTAGACAAGATGCAAGAATGTTATATAAATGAAATGAAATGATGAAATACTTGCAAGGACTGTAAAACTCATGAAAATGAGTTTTTTTTTTTTTTTCCTCTCTATTAAAACCCTATCATGGTGATTACAAGAGTAAAAAAAAATAATTTTACAGGAAAAAAAATGAATAATTGAAATTTAGACAAGAAGACTGAGCAGTCAGCAGATCTTTGTGTGTGTCAACCTATGGCACAACATATTTGCAGGGGGCTATGAAGGAAAGCAAGCCAATGAGTTTTGATAATAGCAGCCCATGGTATACTGCACCAAAGCATAGTATTTACTATAAATTAATTCTGTGTAGCAACAGACATCACAATGGTATTTTGATAAAAACAATTCTAAAACAGTACCTTTCTGAGCGATAACTCCACATTTGTGTCTGCACTGAAATTGTATTTGGCGATAGCTTCTCCAATCTCTCCAATCTGTGCAGGGGGAGGTGGTCTGGCAGGTTGTGCTTTTTCTGGGGGAGAAAGTTTCTACAAAAATGTAAAAAAAAATTAAAAAAAAAAAAMCATCATTCCCATGTAGCTTAGGGATCTATTACCCCAACTAATCCAAAAAATTAAAACAGAGAACATACCTCAACATAAGAAATCGGGAATATTCCAACTCTTCCACGGTGCTCACCCTCATACCAGTTTTGATCAATTTTCCTGAGGATATAGACAGTATCTCCTTTCTTAAAGGACAGCTCTCTGTAACAGATTTATTTAAATCAGATGTTGACAGCTTTATATTTGAACTCCTCTGCCTGAGAGGTTTCTGAGGACTTCACAGTTCAACTTTGAAACAGGATCTAGCAACTAAACATTTGGAGAAAAAGTACCACAGCTGTGGTAGATTCACCAGTTATGATTCCCATTATGCATCCCAGAAACTCTAGGTGAGTTACTGAATTACCCTGGACTTTCAAGGAATATTGCTAGTCTCTATAAGAGCACTCTGGGTCTGCATGCAGTTCTGATGCCTTCTGGACCTCTTGTTCGGGTCAGATAACGGCAGCCCAGCTGGTGGTCCTTGCGAAAGAGCAGCGAGCGCTACTGAAGGGTGTCCCATGTCTCCACGGCCTGCTTACTACCCTTGTGCAGCAGCACCGTTTGAAGTGCTTCTACTCTACAACTTTTTCATTTCACAGCCCAGCTGGGAGCTGGGTGCCCCACACGGGCGCACTGAGCACCGCACCGTGTGCACTGACACCCCTCTCCGTGAACGCAGAGCTCCCCGTGCAGGGGTGACACTCAGCGCCCCTGAGCTGGAAGGCTGACGTTGCATAGGCATTCCTGTGCTTAAGCAAATGCAATGAATATAATCATTTAAGAAATGCAAATATCGTCTCACACAGTCTGCTAGGAGAACAGGTGGTATCTTCTGCATCCATGGCATTTGTTGTGGAAATTTAGCTACTAAAGCAGCTAGCCAAAGCAAGTGCTCGATCATTCTTGAATTATGAATTCTTAAATGAACAAAAGTTTAGTACTTACTTAGAAGTCTGAGCTTTAAAGTCATATACAGCTCTAGCTGGCAGTTTCTGAAAAGTAGGCAAAATACATTCACATAATATTACTATATGGTAAACAATGTTTCAACTTTTTAAAATGTGACTAAGATTAAACACGGGAGAAAAAGCTGAGCCTAGTCTGTGAATTATTAGATACAGAGTTTGGTGCTTATGCAGTACTCACTCTTAGATCTTAAACTACAAGATCAATTTGAAAATAAGGTGTGCTGTAACCGTACCATTATTTTCTATAACATTATCAAATCAGTGGAAAATCTTAACTTACAGTCTATAGACATTAGCATATAATATGTTAGCTAATAGCTGATGATTGAATACAATCATCACCATGAAACTTGTACAATCATCACCCTAAAACTTATTTGGAGAGTGTTTCAATGTCTACATTTAGAACCACTCTTAGGAGACTGAATGTTTTTTGCCTATGCTGATACTTTTTGTTATTTTCTGTTGTTTTTGCCATTTATACTGGAGGTTGCATGCCTGATTCCGTTTCTTCCTCCCAATCATTAGTATAAGAAACTGTTGTTACGGTAAGTGCTTTCACTTTTTAAAACATAAGCAACTGTGAAATAGAAATGTTCCTTGTGTCAGTCCTGAAGCTCCTGAAGCAGCTGCTTGTGTAAACTTTGGTTTTCACAAGAGACTTTTCCCAGTTGCACCTGCTATTCTTTTCTGTGCCAAATGCCCCCTTCAGTCAACCCTGACTCATCCATTTAAACATCAGTAGAAAATGCAGCTGATCTTACAAAGCTTGATATTCTTTTACTTTTCTTTTAAGGGATCAGTCTCCTAAAGGAAAAAGGGATTCTGTCCCATTTAATGATAAATTATGTTTAAATGCTCCTTTGGCCTGGATCATTACAGCGTTTTAGAACCCAATTTTGTCTTGCAATGTTTGCAATGTTATTGGTTTTCCATATGCAAGCTGCTGTGCTATTTATTCATATTTAGCTACCTCTCCTCTGTCYGTAGTTCCTCTTCTCTCCCTGGGAATACACCGTCCCACCTCAGCGAAAGCAGAAGAATGGCTTCCAGGGGATTCCTGGTCTACTGAAAACAGAACATCATGAGATGAATCTCTGGTAAATTATGCAAAAACAGCTCAAATCTTTGATAGTACTTGGGTTTATTTAATGGGATCTACAAAAATATAAAGACATGAAGAAATCTGGAATCTCCTATTTCACCTTTAGTAGAAAGAAAATATGACATGATAGTTAAAGAGCATTTTAAACAAAAAAAAAAAGAAAAAAGATACTCTCAAGCAAAGGCCTCAGGGACTGTGTAATGGAGGACCAGGAGGGCAAAATAATGCCTTCTTGTGCTAAGGAGCACACGCCTTACTGGACTAAATGGAGTGACAGCAGTACTGACACTTCATCACAAGTGACAAGAACCATTTCCTCAATGTCACCAATATAAACAGATTATTTCATGCATGCAACATGATTACAGCATGCTTTAATGAGAAAGCAGTGAATCATTGGTTATTGAACATAACAGTAATAATAACTCTGTTTGAGGAGATGGAGATGGATCAGTACTCACCAATCTATGTGGCAGATTTTCCTAAAGGACAGCTCACTATTGTTTATTACAGGGTAGTATATTACAGGATGGTGAATACATCTTTTTGTGTATTTAATAAAATAAAAATCTTAGTTTCTATAGTCCTGCAAGTAGCCAATGTAAAATGAAAATATAAAGGAATTATTTTATCTCCTCTTTACTCCTGAGACTAACTACCATATTCCCCAATGCCACAGTGATAGCTACTAGTGGAGGCATCTGTCTGACCTCGGCCTTCCTTGCTCTTCATTCGCATAACCTGTTGCTAGTAATCCTACAGATTTCTAAAGAAGCACAACTGGACAAACAGAACTGAAAGCATCTAATCCATTTTGCTGGGTCTTATGGAAGAACAAAATTTAAGTGCCCACTAGTGGACTGTCTGCTAAACCACAGGACTTGAGGCTATTGATAAACTCACTGGAGGAAAAATCAGGCTATATACGTTGCTAGTCACAAGCATGTCAACCCTAACAAGGGTGTCTGGGCCTCATCATGGGCAGTGTTCCTGGAATGTCCTGGGACAAAGTGTCCTGCCCAAAGAGGTAATGCCTCCAAGTACTGTGTCTCGTAAATGCCAGCAGAAAGAAGTGGGAAGGAAARGAGTGAAAAACAGTTTTAGGGAGAACAGTTTCTTTTAACTTCTGCAGAGCTCCTTGGGCCACCTGTGCCTGGTATTTGCTTTCAGTGCTCCTGTTGATAAGACCTTGAGCTTTCTGCAATGCCTTGTTTTTGCCAGAGAAGCAGAGCGGAGCCAGCAAAATAGGGACCTTTTTCAGGAGAGCTCCGCTGTGACTGGTGCTGATAGCAGCCACTGCCATGTTCTCATACACTGATCTGTACTTCATGGACATGGAAGTAGTCAGTCGGTCACTTCCCTCACACCAGGCTCCTTCGCTGTCACATAAGCTGCTAGGAAACGAAACTTATTCTGAAATAGCATTTCCCTATTCTCAAGGACCAGAAGTTATTATTGACTCATTGATATCCCTGTATATATATGGGATTCCCAAAAGCTTTGACTCTATAATATTACTTTAAGGGCTAATCTTGATCATGACTCAGGTCTAATTCAATTTTGAATTGAGTTTTACAGCCACTTTTTACTAAAGTCTGTCCTCACTACTTATTTCCTAACCACTTAAGAAAAGGTGGTGACTGCTTCAATTCTGATTTGTCTTGAAATACATATTGGCTAGTATGGCATTGGCAAAAATTACAGAAAAAGATGTGAGATTAAAGATAAATTAGATGAGTAAGAATTACTATATTGTAAAATTAAGCTAATAAAGACACACTTCCTTACATCCAGTTGTGTCTTCAAGAATAGCTTTGCAATGTAATTGGAATCCTCACAAATGCTCCTCTATGGACAATTGTACATTTGCAAGCAGAATTCAACACAGAAGTCTTACCATTTTAAAAAATAAATAAACGACACAGGGTTTCAAAAGATATTTACCTGTCTGAAACACCTAGTGGATGCCTCTGCGCACAAATGCTGCAACACTAATGTGTTTTAAAATTTTAAGGTTAACTTTAAAATTTTAACTCMAGTAATTTTATTTTTTTCATGAGAAAAAGCAGCAGAGCAATGAACACCTCAAAGCTGTGACTTTAGAACAAGATCACTGTCAAGACGGACTTTTCAAAATTTATACTCACCTTGACAGTATCCTTCAAGGTTTGATTATTGAGGACTCCCTTTCAAAAGGAAGGGTATTTCTCAAAACTTCATAGATGTATTAAAACTCTATGAGAGGAACTCATTTTGCTGCCACAGAAATTGGAAATTGTATTGTTGGAGTTGGGAAATGGAATGTTCCTCAAATGACCTTTGTCTATTCACAAAAAGTTATAAGCACAGCAGGGTTAGCRTATTTTTATGAGAAAACTAAATCAAATTTCTATGCAGCTGGCAGACTTAACAGCATTTTTCTCAGTTGCATTCGACAACAGTATGCGGTACAACATATTTCTGGTATAGATTTTTTTTTTAAATAGCAGCAGTTATTTAAATGCATTCCCTGCATGATATTAACATCTTGCATTCTTTCACTTTTGAGTTCTTTCACTTTTTGTAAGGTCTTTTTTTTCTTTGGGGAAAAATAAAGAAAACACACTTATCTTTAAGAGTCAGCTATAGGAAGCCAGGCTCCTTGCTCAATTTAATGCTGCCATTATAATTATAGTAATAATAATCTATGTATTAGTTGGAATAATCTGTTTCCTGTACAGATTATTAAATTTTGTGAATAGACAAAGCAAATGTGTCTGCCTTAGTCACTGATGGAAAAATGACATCCTTTCCTCATTAAGGATTTTGTGGGATGAATGTTCATTATAGACCACGCATACACACRCAAACACATACACACAAAAGAAATGAGAAAGGGTGGGAAATGAAGGAATAAGGCTGGACAAGTCAATCACAAAGACAGAGGGAGAAGGTTAATCCACCTTGGAAACACAGTGCACTATCATTGTCTTGGCTGTTGTTGTTAGTGGCGTCCACATCTTGGAAAGAGGCACTAAAGGGGAGTCTTCCACAATCATTCTGGTACAGTGGGCAGTGAATAGCACCATCTTGAGGCAGAGCATGGAAAGGCTGGTGCATGGGGCTTTTCCTCAGAGCTTTAAGAGACGAATTCCTTTCTGGAATGTCTGGAAGCAGCTCACTAATCAGTCTGTGTAATATACTGTTGTCAGGCAAACTTCCCCTTCTTTTTTCAGCTTTAATTTGGTCGCAGATGTCTTTAAGCGCAGAGTCTAGTGCTTCAAATACAGATGATTTACTTTTTGTCTTTTCGGGTTTTTTTTTGGGAGCTGCGCTTTTTTTCCTCCGGAAAGGCACTGGGCTGACTAGGAATGCTATCTTGGAGAGGCCAGATTCTGCTTGCTGTCTCCTAGGATCTTCGGAGGTTTCTTGTTTAGCCCTTTCATGCTTCAGCATGGTGGTGAAGCGCGTGTAGGAGGCCGGGCAGCGCCCTTTGCAGGAGCTGATGAGATGCCGGTGGTGGTGGTGGTGGTGRTGGTGGTGGTGATGGCCCGATCCATAGAAGCTTTCGGATGAGGTGAAGGAGAAGTGGTCAAAGTCGCTTTCACTGCAGAAGGATGAACCTTCTATCTGGATGAAGTCGCTGAGGTCAGAAACCACTCCATCTTGATCACTGTCTGAGAAGTCCATGTGCGACCGCTGTGGCTCATCACTGGTCACTTCGATATGAATTGGCACCAGAGTTTTAGACTTGCAGTTTCGTTGCACCTGAGGGGGATGTCTCCCTTCGCTTTCTTCCTCCAGCAGGGACTCTATAGAAAATCGCCGCTTTGGACACAAGCCATTTGTAGGAGGCTCTAGGGTAACTGCTGACARCATTTCATCGCCTAGATTCGGCATCGATTTTGACTTCTGAATTAATTTTTCAAATTCAGATATCCTGGTTGGCACCATGTCTCTAGGCACCTCTTCAGTAGAAGACTCTCTCCAGCCCTGAAGGATACCTTTGTGCTGTTCTTTTTCATACTGCAATATCCTTGACTTCACAGAGCAAATCATCTCGGAATTCATCAAGTCCTTGCGATTGATGCGGTGCATCTTCTTGTACATTTTTAGGAAACCCGGAGCATCGTGTGCCGATCTGTGCCGAACCCTTGACCTACCGTTACCACGGCCCTCCGGGACGTACGGGGAGGCCCAGCTCATGGAGCTGGCGTCCTTGGAGTCCTCCTCACACAAAAGGGAGCCCATGCTCTCAGACTTGGCCTGTGCATCAGGATAGCTATCGTGGTCGTCTGTTAACAGATCGTCACAGCTGCGAGATTTTCTCTTGGGAGAAGCAGTTTCTTCTGTGCTGCTCCAGACTTCTGCATTTTGGCGAGTCATTTGCCAGCCGTTCTTGTAGCTGACCGCCCTTCTGGAATCGTTTGGAACAGCTAAATGTTGTCCGTAAGTGCTACAGTAATCTAACTCATTTGAGGTGTTGTGGTTGGGCACTGAATAACTGTAAAGGGATGGATATACTTTGCTAATATCCCCACCTTTATAATCCATAGAGCAGCATGGTAAAAAAGAGACATTGCCAGAAATTAAAAGGTTCAGAAAGTTGGAAATAATATCAGTAAATATTAGAAAGACTAGAAAAGAGACAGCAATTAATACAGCTACTTATCAATTTAGGTCACTACACATAGGTTGCTACAGACTGGGAGAGAAGAATTAGTAATCAAGCTATTTCAATTTTCCAGTTTTAAAAGTAAYGATAATCTGAACATCAGAAAGAACTCATGATTTTGGAGATGTTAACTCAGTAAAAATCAGAAAAAAAAATCCATAAGGAAAGAACCACCAAGTGTGAAGCAAGTCAAAAGACTTAAAGATAAAACCAAAAACAGCGATGTGCATCTCAGTGCACYGTAATTTTGAGATAAATGAATATTAGAGACAAAAGTCAAGACCATCTCTGGAGAAAGAACTAGATTTACCATGTTTGCACACAACTTAGTTCTTTGGAACTTCATTCAGAGATTCAAATACATATGTTAATTATAGAAAATGCCAAAAATAGACAAAAACCTTGCTTGATCAAAAGATTAAATCATATTGAAACAGGAGCATTAGGGAATTATTTCCATGTAAATTTTAAAAATGTGTGAAATGCTGATCTTTGCACTAATACATTCAAAAAGAAGCTGATAAGGGTTTTTGAGGTGAACAGTGTTCAGACAGTTGGCAACAATCACACATTCTATTAAAAAAAAAAAAGAAAAGAAATCTTTAAATATGATCAAATACGAAATTTCTCCCAGCTGTTGATGTGCAGCAGGAAAATAAATTTAACAATAAGAAGACTACGAAAGCACATTAAAACACTATAAACCATTCTACATCTCTCTTACACATCCGTTTGCTTCTACATTTTTTTCCAGAAAACCTTACAAATTCTCAGATATTTTTCCCAATAACTTGCTTATCCTTTTTGTAAAGCTCACCAGGAGCTTTTGCTGGAACCTGTCACACTCTGTAGTCAGTACAGCAATTCAGACACTTTTTTCCTTGTGTTTTAGTTTCTAGATTTCTGTTTGTTTGTTTGTTTAGTTTTGGATTCTACATTTTTAAGATCTAGATTGTTTCAGACCAAACTCTAATTCAATTCAGTATTGATCAATATCTAAAAACAAACAAACAAACAAAAACAAACAAACAAACAAAAAACCCAAAGCATCATATGCTTCTTATTTAAAAGAATGGTTAACTCCAGGAAACAGCGACACAGTCCTAGTAGGTGCCATCACGCTGCGAGACAACGGAGCGATAGAGCTGCCAGGGAAGCTGCCAGGGAAGGACTTCTGAAGCACAGGCAGTTGAAGTCATGGCTACTGCTTCTAACCAGTGGGGTAAATGCAACTTACCAACTTCTCCCTACCTTGCCTGGGATGCCAAATATGAGATTACCCACTTCTAAAATTACCACTGAGTCATGGGGTTTAAAATACATTTGCTTGTCCAACACTTCGCTCTTAATATTCCTAATTTTTTCCTTTATTTTGTTGCAAMCTAAATATTGTGTTGCTCTGAGATGGGATTGTCTTTTCCCAGTGATTAAGACAGCCCCTCATACACCTGTAGGCTGACCAGTAAGCATAGCTACAAAATACAGTAAGCAAATAAAGCAAAAGAAATGAAAGGCAAGGAAAGCTGTTACAGTAATTATTATTCTATATATTGTTTCTGCTATGTACACTTGGTATTTTCCTGGAAATCTCTCTTGGTTAAAACAAAACAAAACAAAACAAACTGATTCAAGTATCTCTTTTCTGGAGGGACATGGAAGACAGTAAATGGAAAGACAGGTAACTAAAAAAAAAAAAAAAAGGACTAATTAGATTGTATATGATGCACTAAATATTTAATGGACTTACAAAACCAAAAGTCTTAATGTCAGACTGTGGACATTTGCTTATGTTTAAAATTAGGTCCTGATAACTGATGATGATGTCTAAGACATCACTTACAGATTTAAAAGCTTTATTACTATGCAAACACATCCTTCCAACTTAAATATTATTTGTATTAATTGACTTTTTGTATCTATTAGAAACAATGCATTTAGTAAAACTTCCTTAGTTTATATATAAGGGTTCAATCGTATTCTTCATTTAATCAACTTTTTCTCCTAAAATGAGCAACTGAAATAAAAAAAAAATTCACACACCCAACTTTTAATCAACTTAAAATKATGTAAGAATAAATCAATATTTCATGAAAGACTGCAAGCTGGTGCTTCAAAGAAGAACTTTCCTAGCAAAGCGTGGCCGAGCAAAAGCAGGCAGCTGCTCGGACTGCCGTGTCTCGCACGCTGTCTGTGCCGCGCACTTCCCTGCGGGCAGCCGCGCCTCCCTCCTACCTTTTGCTCGGGACGGCGAGGAGGGCGAGGAGCTCGTGAAGGGCTTTCGGAGGCTGCTGCAGGAGCCCTGCGTGTCGGCGCGGCCCAGCCCGGGCCTGCCCGCGCTCTGGTCGCTGTGAGCCCTCTGGTGACTTACGGCGGGTTCCGACTTCCTCCTTTTCCTGTAGTCACTCGCGGTGCTCGCAGAGCTGCGGAGACAATCCGCGTTAGCAGCGGTCTAGCTCCCAGACAGGAAACTCATCGGGAATAAAGGAGTAAGCTTGGAGCTATGGAGATACAGAGCTGTAAACACTGCAAAATGTCCAGCTGCAGACCCATAGCTATGGCATTCTTTTTATGGATTAAACATTGCCAGAACAAATAATCACAGATAGGGAAAGGGGAGAAACACTGCTCTCAACTTTGTAACACTGTTTCACAGAGAAAAGCTGAAAGAAATCTTCTTGAACAAAAGAACCTCATTATTTTAGTCAGTATTTCTACATAATTTTCCAAATCTTAGTAAAAGACCCAAACTACAGGGTAGYATATTTCGAATGCAAACAGTAAAACAAAGAGCTGCACTTGGGTATCAAAAGAGGAATGTTGTCTCCCCGCACACCTCTATTTTGTTGGTATCTCACAAACCAGGGGTTAAAATCCATGACTTCCCAACATCTCCCAGCTTCAGGACAAACAGAAAGCTCAGGCTGTATCATCTGTGTCTGCTGAAATAACCTGGCTCTACTCCTTACCTGGAGGGCCTGTCCAGGCCTCTGTCTGTTGAATAGTGATGATACAAGGAAGTCTGTGGAAACAAATAAATGAATGCTTTAGGTCTATATTTGAAATATAAAAGCTAACAATTTCCAGTTATAATGTTTGATTATTCGCTTGAAACATTACTCTGTGACAAAGCCTATAAAAACTCTATCATGATTATCATCCTGTGCACTCCAGCACACCAATATTGTGCTATTTCTTGAGAAGTTATGTACTTTCTTKAAAGCATCAGTAGCTTTCTTTTCATTGTATATTTTGGTAAAAATTATTTTTCTTCTAAAGAACTGCTAATAAAGATCCAGAGTCCTGTTCCTTTATATCCTTTTCAAAAATGGATACAGAACAGTATGAACTTTACTATGAAAACATAGAAATCACATAAATAATTCTTAAATGCACAAGTAAGGTCTGCAGAGCTCCAGGCCAGTCACTCAACTGATCCCACAACTGATCATACTCAGAAACTTTTTCTGTTCATGGCCAAAAGACACACGATTTCTGCAGCAGAACATTCCTTGGGAGGCCAGTCTTCCATTGCTTTGGAAGTAGCTACTACACAAAGCCTGCAAGATGGAATGAGCTATTGCAGCTACTCTGTAGTTTTACTGATGCTACCAATTCAATGTTAAAAGACCTCTGATTTTATAGCAATCATTTCTTGCATTTCAAGGCTGCAGCCAGAATGAGGCGATACTCCCGTTTTGCTATCCAGGGAATGAACTGCCTGGTCCCTGTGCACTTTCTTCCTGAGCACAAAGCAGCATCTCTCAAAGGGCAAATTTACTTTCAGTTGACGCGGTACCATTTCAGAGGGCAGCGATGGACTGGGGCCAGAGCTGCCGTTCAGCTCTGCCAGCTGCAGGGACTCACGTTCTCTTTATAACACCGTGGCAGAACTGGAGTAGCAGGGATTTCTGCTGGATAACCACAGTAAACATGAGCCCTATCCTCTGAGGAGTCAGTGCACAGCTCTTGTTCCTCTTATTTTGGTAGGCATTGTGGAAGTGAGTGAGGTTGTCATGTTGATAAACTGGAGTACAGTAACTCTGTGCTTCGCTGAGAGGCAGCATCGCCCCGCACCCCAGTGACCAGCACACTGGCCTGGCACTGAAAGAATTTCATTTCTGGCCTATTTTGGGGTTTCTTGGTGTGACCTCGGACAGTTCAGCACAGCACATCATCCCTCCAACTCTCATTTGCTTTTCATTTTGTGGGAAATTTCAAAATATTCAAATGTCTAAGAAAAAAAAAGTAAACAAGGTTTTGGTTATAACTACTTATTCTTCTGATTTGTTTCAAATGCACAAAGATTGTTCTGCTTCAACCCTGTGTGGTGAGCTTGCCAGTCTCCCCGTTGGTTCTGAGACGGCCAGGAGATGCTCCTCCCAAGAAATACAGGCTCTGGGGGGATGCGGCTTGAGGGACTGTGAACATTCTGTCACGCATCAGAGGCGAAGCTGAGGCAATTTCTCTGCTTCTGATGAGATTCTTCCTTTTGAATCAAATTGCTCCCATCAGAGCTGAACTAGCCCACAGGCTTTAAAACTGCTTTCAAACAACAACAGACACTTGTAATGCTCTACATTGTGCCATATAACAGATACTTATTTTCTTTTTTCCTTAAATTGAGAATTAAAAGAATTTCCTTTTTTTTCTTCTCCTTGCCCTTCCACTGCTGCATTATAACCTGCATTTCCAGACTGTGGCAACCAAGTGCTGGCAACGCACAGCTCTGTTCCAATGGCTGCACTATGGAAGAAAGAGCAGAGCTGAAAATAAAAGCTCCAAGGAGTGCTTCAGTGCCGAGCTCAACAGCAGGGGCTGCTGGTCACGCGTCCTTTGCAGCACCTCCACCCCAAGCCGCAGTACGGACACCGTGCAGCAGAGCAGACCCGATCTGTCTGCGCACATGCAGCTCTGCTCTCGGCACTCACGTTCCACACTTGGCTTTTTCCCTTGTTGGAAGGGCATACAAGCATCCGGAGGACAAACAAGTTTTAGCACAGCAATATATGATTTGCTTTTATTTGCTAAAGCCACCTATTTTTTCTGCAAGGAAATGAAAATATTTTTTCACAAGCTTTCCCTGTGAAACTGGATTTTTTTTAAGACATCTGTCGTTACCCGATTCTTAGGTGATAAACAATCTAAATATGAAACTTGAAAAAAAGAAGCAATTTGAGGGTTGGATTAACAAAGTGAAGAACAGGAATGAGTAATGTATAAACCAAAGTATTTTAGGTATTGCAACCCAACGCCGCTCATTAAAATCAAAAGACCTAAACATGTGAATGTGAGCGGTGCCACAAGGGCACGCAACCTGCTGCTGGGAATACTGCTTTACTAGGAGAAAAACCCTTCTCCCATAACTGTCCACCTTCAGGGTTTTAAGGAGAACATTCAATATAATGAGGTCGGTCTGCAACCAAACCGTCACACCCTCAACCAACAGCTCCGTAACGGCAGCCCTCACTCACACCCAGGGGGAAGCAGAGGGGTCCGAGGCCTCCTGCCTCTGCCGTGGCAGCCGCGGGGGCACGCACAGCCCCTGGGGCGCTCCCGGCCCGGGCCCTGCTCCCAGGSAGCGCCCTGCTGGCCACCGAGCGGAGGCAGCGCCCAACTGCCCCAGCTGCCCAGTGGGGGCTGCCTTGGAAGCCCCCATTCAGCTCTGTTCAAGAACACAGCTCTGGTCTTACACTTCAGCCAGTGCTTTAGTCGCTCTCGTGCACAAAGGCTTTAATGAAAATGAAGTCAGGCGAAAAACAAATGGGCAAAAGCTGTAAACAACAAGCAGGTCTGCATGAAGGCCGAATTTAGTACTTGAGCTAGTTCTGTTGTAATATTTTGCCTCCTTGGAAAAAATATTTAATTTTCTTGTAATTTGCAAAATTTGTGTGTACATTTGCATAATATAACATATTCAAAGATTCAAGTTTCAAAACCTTTCCAATTTCTAAGATAATTTGCCTACTAAGAGACAATTGTCAAATTAAATATGAAATTGGTATTATTTAGTAATTATTTTACCCAGGCCTACTGAGCATGATTATATTTGAAATAACCATATACTAAGACTTTTAAATGGTTTTCTCCAGCATGGAGATTATTCTCAAGTGTCACTGGAGCCTAGAAGTTTATTATCGGAGAGAACTGCCCGCCCCATGAGCACRAGGGTCTCTGGCCCACGTACAAAAYTTCAACCCAAACCAGAGTAACCTGGACCTCAATTTCAGTGTAATTCCTAGAGGCACCAAGGAAGAAGAGAGTGAACAGCAAATATGGATGAAGTAAAGGCACCCTGTGAAGGTCATTATGGGATTCCCTGACTTCTGCCCTAACACTCTGAGCAGGGGAAGGGGAGGAGGAACAGAGTCCTGGATCGCTCCCACTCAGAGCAGGGCAGCGAGCGCCACTACCTCATCTTGATGCATTTAATTCAGCATATGGCAGTGATTATCAATTCTGCACTTACAGATTTCCAACATGAGAAATAATAGCTCAGCYACAAAGGCTTTCACCTAACATTCAGAATTTGCAGACAGATATTTAAAAAATATTATTTAGATTAATTGTATCTAAAGCCAATGCGCTCGCCCAGCTCTGAAGAAGTGGGAGTTTGTMAAGACTGAGAGACGTACGGCCTGCTGTGTAATTCTGAGTGTTAATCACTGAGAGGTTTGGGGGATGTGGACTCACAGTTCCTAGGGTAATAAGATCAACATCCATATGTACTAGTGATCTGGAAAGGTGTGAAGACAGAGATACAGTGGTTGTGAATGAGAAATGTCTCGAGGCTGTTGGAAAGAAACCAGTGCSTTTTACCAAGTTCAGGTACCAACAGCGAGCTCACCAACCCCTTTCCCCAAGAGATTCATCTGAACAAGAATCATTCATTTACCTCTTTGGAAACACCAGGAGAACTGTCGTGAACATAGTCCAAAAGCTTTTTAGGTGGCTGCATCACATAAGCAGAAGTGCAGAGATGGAATGGAGGAGAGTCAATGGCAGCAAGGAGTGAAACGTGGAGAAGGTGACACAGTTAGAAACGAAGTGTTGACAGCATCAGATACAAGAGTGACATGTATGGGTAGAATGGAATGAAGAACGTGTTAAAGTATTTTTAAATTTATTAAGTATCTTAATAAAAYGTTAGTAATTTTAGGTAGTAAAATGTCCAGATTGAGTGATTTAATCAAYACTAGCAGTTTCGAATACTAGTAAAACAGGAGAGGATAAAGCATATCAGTTGTGTGTTGTTGGGGAAATCTCTCAATATGCTTTATTTTACAGAAATAAATAACAGATTATCAGTATTTGTAAAATATTGCTGACATGATTTTCAGAAGAATGTTTATGCCTACCTAGAGAAAGGAAAGASAATTAAAACAGTTTGAATGGCTAGATTAAAGGAGATTAAAGTTGATTAGTGCTAAATGCAATATATTACAAACACTGGACAACGAATTAAACCCAGATATAGTTAACTATTTTCTATTTTTAGGAGATATTCAATGCATATTTTTTGAAGGTAGGATTAGAAAAATAAAGCTTTAGAAGAATATATTTGGTTTGCTTATGCCTATCCTCTCTTCTGCTCTTACTGAAGTCACCAAGTTCTGATTGTGGCTTACAGTAGATGTGAAAGGGACTGCAGCACCTGGACCCTCCTTTCCGCCCTCCTCCTCCTGAAGGGATTTCAAGTTACCTTCCACCTGTCAGGAGCTCAGCGACCTTGTTGCAGTTCTTAGGGGAAGACATTTTTCATTCCTCCTCCTAGAACTGTGGTGTCTTGCAAGAACGACTTGGAGCTCCACGGAGCCTGAGCAAGCATCCCGGCAAGAGGGAGGAAGGCAGAGCTGGAGCATCCTCAGCCCAGGAGTTAAGGCAGGGAGGAAGTGAAACCTAATCGTGAGTCTTGCTTCGAGGACAAATTCACTGTTTAAATTAAACTAAATCTAATTACAGCACCTTAACAGTATTTGGTGCTTACATCTAGCTGGGCCTGCAGTATATGCAGAAGAACTA